GGCAACTTGTTATCCCCCAGGACTCCCAGGCCCTTCTTCACCAGACTGCTCTCCAGCAGGTCAACTCCCAGACTGTACTGGTGCATGGGGTTATTCCTCCCGAGGTGCAGCACCCTACACTTGCCCTTGTTCGACTTCATCAGGTTCCCCTCTGCCCAACTCTCCAGCCTGTCCAGGTCTCGCTGAATGGCAGCGCAGCCTTCCAGGGTATCAGCCACTCCTCCCAGTTTCGTATCACCAGTGAACTTGCTGAGGGTACACTCCGTCCCTTCATCCGGGTCACTGATGAATAGGTTGAACAAGACCAACAGGCCTCCAACCAGACTCTGCACCGCTGATCACAACTCTCAGAGCTCTGCCATCCAGCCGGTTCTCAACCCACCTCACTGCCCACTCATCCAGCCCACACCTCCTGAGCACTTACCTATGAGGATGTTATTGGAGACAGTGTCAAAAGCTGTGCTGAAGTCAAAGCAGACAACATCCACCGCTCTCCCCTCATCTACCCAGCCAATCATGCCACTGTAAAGGGCTATCAGATTGGTCAAGTATGATTTCCCCTTGGTGAATCCATGCTGTCTACTCCCGATAACCTTCTTTTCCTCCAGCTGCTTAGAGATGACATCCAGAATAAGCTGTTCCACCAACTACAAGCATGTTACTTGGTATGATCTAAATCAAGCCCATTCATATCAGCCAATTTGTTTCCTACTCTTGCTCTGCTTCTCACAGGGCTCTCAAGTCCAGTCCCAGTGCCGCTCTGGGCACAGCCCAGAACAGGGAGGCCACAGCCAAACCTGAGATGGTCCTGCTAGATGGAGTGAGAGAAGGCAGTATCACCTGGGTAGGATCCTGCATTTCAGAGGTCTTGGGACAAACCAATGCTGCACTTCCACCCATGAGGGCAGGCACTGCAGACCATTATGTCTGGGGCAAGAACCATGACGAGAGGAGACACAAGCGGGTGACCTGGGCTGAGATGCCTGCACAGACTGCACCACCAGCTTCCTCAGCGCAGACACGAGTGCCACGCCTGGCCGTCTCAGCTGTTGGTGTTAGGGCCGGGGCTGCCAACAGGCACAGGTAGGGTCCCTGCACAATGATCCACACCGTATCCTGTGATGCCCTGAGGAACAGCCAGGGACATCTATGCTCTGAGTGGAAGAAGCACCCTCACTCACACCTATCACACTCAATGTGTTCATACAGTCACCAGCGCCCCATGAGCTCACTGCGCCGTGTCTCCCCGCGTGGGGGAACCCTGACAGTATTCATACGCCAGAGAAAACTTAGCAGTGCCCACTTGAGAGTAGGATGGCATCTCTGCTCCCACCACAAGGTTCTCTCTGCACCAGCCATGGCATCGGGAAACAGCCTCCTCCACCCAGCCAGCCCCTGCCACTGGCTCTGAGGGTCAGTGAGGAGGTCGGTTCCATGTCAGCCACTTTCTCTGTGCAGAGAGAGTCACGGTGCTCAAGCACAACTGCGTACTGGTTGTTTCAGTCAGCTCTGCTTTGAATTCTGCAGCCTTGGTCCCATAGGCTGGCACAGCAGCAACGGGTACAGGTGCAATGGCAGAGAGAACACGCAATACCTGAGTGATTCTGCAGAGCCTGGTTCTGGCCGTCCTTCGTCGGTGTGATGAGATCCCAGATAAAACTCTTAATCTTCTCATCCCCCTTGTAGTGTTTGACACAATAGACCAGCAAGGCCCGACAAATCATCTCCATGTCCTTCTCATTCAGGTGCCACTTGAACCGCCCATGGGTCAGGATATCTTTCCAGCGTCCCCACCTGCAACAGCAGGAACACAGAGAGAGTAAACACTCTTGTGCAACTAGAGACCTTGCCTGCACTTCTCTCCAGGAGCGTGCTCAGCGGCACGGCCCTTCCAGCTCCCCTGGCTAGGGGTGTTCTGCCCCCACATTACTGGAGCAGAGAGGGCGAGAGGTTTGCCCAGGACTCAACAGAGCAGAGGTAGGAGCAGACTCTGGAAGTGCTGACTGCTTTGCCCCCCCCAACTCTCCTTCCATCCCAAATGTTCGCTTAGAGCCCAGGTCCCACCAAGGAGGTCACTGCTGGAAGGAGGGGACACTGCAAGCAAGACGGACAGAAAACAGCTGGGGCAGCCAGCGGCCCATGTGTGCACCGGGGCAGCTGGAGGCTGTGTCTGTGCTCTCTGGGGAGGGGGCAAAACTCACCCGAATATGAGCAAGTTCTTCTCCACGCGGAAGCACTCAGCCCGCAGGTACCGCCGTGTCTTCTCATTGAAGCGCCGGGAGCGCGTGGGTCGCTCGTCTGAGTCACTGTCCAGCTCGGAGAACTCCATCAGCTCGTCCTCTTCAAAGGAGTTGTAGTGTTTGGTTTGCTTCCGCACCCGGGGCCTGTCGATGACCAGGCTCTCCTATGAGGGATAGACAGGAGAACATCCTCAGGTTTGGGCAGACACACCTGACTTCCATCAGGGCACACTACGTCCTCTTCTCCACACTGCCACCCTGCTCACGCCTCTGGCCTCTGGTTCCTGGCTCACCAGCCCCGTGGCTAGCCATCACCTTCCCACTGGGATACCTGCTCCAAACTACCTGGTGCGGCTCTGCCTGAACACACAAGACAATCCCTGGCCAGCACAAAATTCAGCCTGAATCGTGGCAGGCTGAAAATCAGGCCCTCTGGGTTCAAACTGCTGACAACCAGCAGCTGATTCAGCTCTGAATCATACTCCTGGCTCTTCCAGCACTGCCTGCACCAAGCACTGTGCTGGAGGCGGTGTAATTTCTGTGCCGGGGAGGGGCGGGGGGGGATAGGTGGGCTGAAAGAGAAAAGGCAGCTTCCAAGAAGGTGCAGGAGGGAGCAATATCAAATTAAATAGCATGTACCTGCCTCCTCTCCTTCCCCCCACCCTGTCGAATGAATCCACGTCATCTAAATCTGCCTGGATTTCAAGCATGTGGGACACACACATACACACAGACATCGCTTCTCCCATTCTCCCTGCTAGAGCGGTGAACTCTGCAGAGCTGCGGGGCCTCCCTCTTGCTGCTGTCTAACACCACCTCTATGGCATTGCTGCCTTAGCTGGAATTTCGGCAGGCCTCAGGGCCTGCAGCACCCTGTGCTTGATGGAGGAGCTGGGAGGAGAGGCTTGGGCTGTAGCTGAGCCCACGAGCTCAGCAGGGCCAGGACAGCGATGGGACTACATCTGTCCCCTCCTGCCGCCCGACAGGCAGAGTCACCAACCCTCCCAGCTGCACCCCAGCGCTCAGCTAGAGAGCTCCTTCCATGGGCAGATCAAGGAGAGGCTGAGATCAAGGATGCTGCCCCTGGGAGATGCTCACCAGGGTTCCATGGGGAGCTCTGCTACCAGGCCAGAAGAAGCCAGGCACTGGCTCACTGTAGATCCTGCTGCCGTGTTTGCCCACGGCTGCTGCTGGGAAGGAGACAACTTGCCAGTGAGGGCAAGAGGAAAGACTCTGGGAGTATCCATTTATAGTCTGCAACCCCCTTACCCGGACATGGTGTCGGGCTTGCCAGATCCACTTGGCTTTACTCTTTGCTCCCATCCCTCACGGCTGCAAATGCTGATGGAGGAAGGAGTGGCACAGTCCAAACCTGTCCCCACTTGCTCCATCAGGCCAGGTAAAGCCCTGTGCAGCTCCCTTCCCTATTCACATTCAGATTTGAGAGAGATTCGTTTCTAAAGCAAGACCTGGATATTGAGCCTGACCCACATGGTCTTCGACCAACCTCCCAGGCTCAAGTGAACGTGGATAATATTCAGTTGGATATGGAAAATATCCAACAGGCAGCATGAAGAAGTATCTGACACTGTAGGGGCAGGGAGAGTACTGGAGGAGTTGCTCAAGCTGGAGCTCCTCTCATGACGCCCCTTGTGCTGTCAGGGCCAAACCCAGCTGGCCCAAATGACCTTACCTGCAGCCTTCTGCTCAGAGAAAGATGAGGCAGACATCATGCAGGGCTGTGTCCATCCCCTGAGGCACTCAGCCCCTGGCAGACCCTTCCCCAGCCTGCTCTCACCTAGGACAGAGGTCTGAGACCCAAACCAGACCAAGCACCCACACACAGCGATGCTCTGACAAACCCAGTGCCACAGTCATGATATTCAACCTCCCTGCAACCTGCTTTCATTTGTCAGCACAAACAAGGTGAGGAAGCAGCTCAGTACCTCACAGCCCTCACAGCATTGGCGTGTTCAGCAGAAAGAGACATTTCTTCTGCAAAGAGGTGCTGCCTTCCAGCCAGCACCCACTGCCTGCTCCCCTCTAGCCAGTACACTGCTCCCAGTACAGCACCACAGCCCAGTGCTGGCTCAGCGAGGGCCCCCACTTCCAGGGCTGCCCTTATATCCATAAAGCTGGTGAGAGGCTGAAACCTGAAGGTGCCAGTGTGCCTGATACAAGCCTCTTGACCAGCAGTGTCTCAGCACCCTCGTGTCACTGCAGCTCCTCAGAATCCTCCCGTGCTGCTGCTGGAATGCACACATTAAACGTTATGAATAAATCACAAGAGAGAAGTGTGGTTGTTACAGTTATTACCTTGGCATTAAACAGGACCATGTGACATATGACCTATTCCAGGGACCTGCCTGCTCTGATGTTACCTGCTCCCCACAAGCCTCAACTAATTGCAAGTCCACTTTGTTTTTAGGTCACCAAATGCCTGGACTTGCTGCTGGGTTGGAGGCTCCCTGAACAGGTCCATAGGTGCTGCAGCTCTGCAAAGGGCTTGGAGGGCCACCTGGGGAGAGGAGAGGGAGCCAGGGCCAGCAGGCAGTCACAGGCAGCACGGCTTCCTCTCTGTCTCCGGCTGGAAGAGCCGGGGCACCCTGCCGAGCTTCACCACGACAAACACCACCTCCTTAGCCATTGAGACCTGGGGTGGTGGGAGCTGGGGGGCTGCAGTGGCAGTGTAATGAATGTGCCTGGCACTGCAAGCTCCAGGGCTCGAAGGGCTGGAGTATACAAACTCATGTCAGCTTGCCAGGCCTCCTCCAGAGCTGCCAGGCCAAACGGACCCCTCTGCCCAGGGTGCCAGGGCTCATATGGTCTTGGGTTTGGGTTGTGGAATGGTTACGCAGCTTTCCCTGAGCATGGGAAGAGCCTTGCTCACCCCACCAATCCCCAGCCACACTTGGGCCCCTTTGTGCCCTGCCAGGGCACACGGCAGCTTGGCCCTGGCATGCCTCGAGCTAACGAAGGTCTCTGGGCTTGGTGAGACAGACAGGGAGCCCGGAGATCAGAGTTGGCACCTGGAGGGCAGCATGGGACTGCCCTGGTACTAATCCACACTGGAGCCCCAGCCTCAGCTGCCCAGGCTGCCAGCATCCAGCCTGGCTGGCAACAAGAGGCACTCATGCCTGCCTATGATGTGGGGAACTCTAGCACAGACCCAGCTCAAGCAGATGGAGTCACACCAGTCTGTTGGGTTCATAGGCATGCCATTGCGCCAGCTGTTTCATCTTCTCCTCCCTCACACACTGCCAGCCCCAACTGTCGCCCCTTCACCAGCCTTGGGAGTAGCTGGGAGCAGAAACTGAGCACCCTGAAATACCAGGTAGACACAGCCCAACATGTGGCTAAAATAATCGGGGCTTTAGCCAACACTCACGGGTCTGCCTTCCTTTGCAATAATTCCTGATGCCTAACACATACCCCTTCACGAGCCCAGTGGAAGCACACAGCTCTTGCCTGGAGACCACGCCACGCAGTATCAGATCAGTTGTAGGGCACCTGGGCCACAAGCTGGATCCTACCTTTTCATTCTTGGCGTCTGTATCGAGCTCTGCTATTTTCGCCCACTTTTGCCAGAAGTTCGGGTCATCTAAGGAAATGTCAGTTCTGTTTCCTGATGCTACGAAGCTGGCCTGGAAGTGAAAGAAGAGGAGTGAATAGGGTGCAACCCACCATCCAGATGTGCCTTCCCCCATATAGAGATCCCGAACACATCTGTCTGCAGTGCAGTCTCACTGCCATGGAGTGTTAAACCTCATGTTGACACATACCAGAGGGCTCTTTGTTTGCTTAAGGAAGCTGAATCCCCCTCTGCTGCAGTCCTGCCTGACCCCTTGGAAACGAAGCCTAGGCTGTGGCACCAGCAAGAGGAGAAGGGACAGATGGCCCTTGGTGACACCAGCAGACACCAGCCGTGACCACGGCACAGAGTTGGCTCCCTGGGCTCTCTCCTGTGGGGATGTCAGGGCCCCACAAGCACACAGCGTCCCATGGCACAGCAGCACCCAGCTTTGGGCATCGTGCAGGCCAGCAGCCGGGTCCTGCCACCACTCTGGGGGTCTCCCTGCAGAGCCAGGTCCCATGGCAGCAGAAGAGTGAGGCTGGAGACAGAGATGGGCTGCACTGCAGGAAGGCTGTGCGAAAGGTACCACAACTCCTTCCCGTGCCACCGGCAGCCCAGGTCTTCCCCTGACTTTCTGCTCGGCAACGCACCACACCAAGGCAGCACTGGTGTCTATAAGGGCAAGGGAGGTGACAGACTCCAGATCAAATAAGCTCAGCCCATGAGTAGAAGATCAGCTCAGCTCAGGACTGGATATCACCCAGGCTTTGAACTCATCCATCCTCCCCAAGGAGAGGCCTGACCCTGCCCACAACAGCTCTGGGGATGGCCTGCTGCCAGAGTGTGACAGAGCACACCCTGGCACTGCCCGCTGCCTGGAAGACAGCTCCTGCTCTGCCTTCTCACCAGCCTGAGCCGGCTTCAAAGGGAAAATGGAAGCTGGCAAGCTGAACTCTCCTGGCAGCTGCACATCACCTGCCCAGGAAGGTGGCCCCCTCCTCAATGCTCTGCTGACTACCAGTGAGACAGGAGACCACGCTGCTGCAGTGCCCCAGCAAGGTCTCACTTCTGGACACAGCGGGACAGGCAGGAGCTTGGTGGCCACACGGCCATGTCTCAACACGCAGGTAAGAGGTCAGCCCACCACTACTGCCCTGCGTGCTCCCAGCGTGTCCCCCACCACTCCGGGGGGAGCCCCCCTTCCCTCCCGATGGAGCACAACACACCTTGGCAAAGGTGGAGCCCTTCCCCTCAGACTGGATCGTGATGGTCTGTGTCCTGCGCTGGAGGATCTGATCAATGTCTTCCTCGCAGAACTTTGATCCTTCGTCCTCCTCATCCATGAGAGCGCCATAGGCACCCTTTCGCAGCAGGTCCTCCACCTCCATCTTTGAGAAAAAAATGCCCAAAACACAGGGGCATCACCAACCTGGCTAGCCACCCTGGGCACTGCACAGCAGGCGAAGGCTCTTCCCTCTGCCCCAGGAGGGAGGGCAGAGATGTCCCAAGCCAACCCAGACCTCCTGCTGCCACAGCAAAGTGGTCACTTCAAAACCCTGCCTTTGAGGGACAGGAGTTTCAGTCCATGTCACCCAGACACAGCATCGCATGTCCCCCAACCCTGCAGCAGTGCAGGGGTAGCCTGTCAGGCCAAACAGCAGCAATAAGAGCGTGTGGGACCAGGCTCTCCCTCCCTAGAAGCCTGCCCAGGTCCCTGCTCTGAGCTGGCAGTGACTTGCAGGGGAAGGAGGAGAGCTCTCCCGCAGTGCCTCCCATCTAGCCCCACTGACAGCCTACCTACCCCATTGGTGCTGCCCTTGCGGTTGATGTCCTGCAGCACAGCCTTATCCAGGCCCAGCTTCAGGCTGGCCTTGTCGAACATCTCCCGCTCGTAGGAGTTCCTGGTGATGAGGCGATAGACTTTCACCGCCTTGCTCTGTCCGATCCGGTGGCAGCGAGCTTGAGCCTGGGAGTGCAGAAGGCACAGTGTCAAGCACAGTGAGCCCAACAGGAAAGGGACCGTGTGCCTTATGGCACCCTGCACCAGCACCCACCACTCACTCACCTGAGCCACAGTCAGCTCCCACCCACCAGAGCACCCTCATGTAGTGCCTGTGCCTGACCCGGCAGGGCTCTGCCAGTGGACACTGGTTAGCGCCAGGCCTGCGTGGCTGTGGAGCAGGAATCGGAGACCCCTGAACTCCCGGGCAAGGACACGGGGCTCAGGCTGGAGCCTTGGCTCTCTGCAGATGGGCAGCACCCAACACTTCACCCCCTCCAACACCAGGTATGGACAAAGTGTCACCTGGTCTGTGGCAGACACGAGCTTTTAGAGCCACACTGTGATCTCGTCCATGACACCCCCTCTGCCTGCACTCCTCCTGGCTCTCCCAGCATGGCACCCCATACCCCATACAGCTTGGTGCTGCTGCCCTTCCCTGCCTGGCTGGCAGGAGTGACAGGAGCTGTGCTGCAGGACCTTCCAGCAGCCTGTCCCAGCCCAGCCTGTTACCTGTAGGTCGTTCTGTGGGTTCCAGTCCGAATCAAAGATGATGCAGGTGTCAGCAGCGGTCAGGTTGATGCCCAGCCCGCCCGCCCGTGTGCACAGGAGAAAGACGAAGCGATCCGAATCAGGCTTGCAAAAGCGGTCGATGGCAGCTTGGCGCAGGTTCCCGCGCACCCGCCCATCAATGCGCTCGTAGGTGTACCTGCTCCAAGAGGGGAAAAGACAAGAGCAGGGTCACAGCAGGGCCTGAACTGGCTGTGGCTTACAAATGCCTTCTCGTTCTTTCCCTGGGGCTGTATGTGGGCATGCAGGCAACTGGGACTTACTAGTGGAGGCTCAGGCCCCATCAGCCTGTGTGCATTGAGGTTGTTCCCAGAAGTCATTCCTCTTATGATAGCACAATCATGATGACTCCACGCATGATGCATGGATATGGGGCTCATGGGACCTAGGACCAAGGGAAGGGCCTATTTCTGTTTGGTCACTCCTAGGACTAGCCTTGCGCAACGCAGAATGGACAGGTCAGAGCTGCCCAGCTTTGGGGTCTGCAGCCACGAGCAGTAGCCTGTAACCCAGATCCTTTAGTACGTGGGCACAGAATGACCAAATCCCCACCCTGGGCTGTCGCCACTCTGTATCTACAGTGCAGGATAGAGGTGATGTGGAGGAGCCTTGGTGAATACTGAAGCCTGTACTAACCGCCTCTGAATGAGATAGTCTTCCAGGATGTCAAGGCAGCGCACCATCTGGGAGAAGATGAGCACCTTGTGCCCACCGGCGATCAGCTTCGGAAGCAGCTTATCAATGAGCACCAGCTTCCCAGCTGCCTGAATCATCGCCTGCAGCTGGAAGTCTGGCGCATCTGGGCTGTGTGTTTTACGGAAGTCTTCCAGGATCTTCTCCTCCGCCCCTGCCAGGTGAGAAGGGATGTGAGCTCTTGGCGAGGCTGGCAGCACAGCTGCCCAGAGACTCCTGTCCAGGGCAACAGCAAGCCACCACGCGAGGAACAGAACCCATGCAGTCGATCAGATCTAGGGAGGTTGGCTAGGGACCTCCAGAAGCCCCTCCACTCCTTCTTCAGGGCTTGCACCAGCTCTTGGAAGAACAAGCCAGGCTGGGATGTTGGAGAGGGTCCCGTGCCAGAACACCCCCAAACCCAGCAAGCCTCACAAGATCCTAAGGTGCCCACCAGCAAGCAGACTTGCGGGGAGCTGGGCTGCCCATGAGGGCAACAAGGCAGATCACTGCATCCTGTGCTGGGCCTCAAGGCACAACCACGCCAGCAGCAGATGGCATGAGGGCCCGAGCTGGCTCCCAGGCTGGGTGAGCTCTGCAGGTAGTGACCAGCAAATGTTGCAGTGACATCCGTCCCTCCCACATCTCCTGTGCACAGCCCTCACCATTGATGAGATACGGGTGATTGCAGCACTTCCGTAGCTCCATCATGGTGTTGATGAGGTTGGGCATATTGTGCTGGTTGGCACCCTTGGAGAGGAAGGAGAAGTTCTTCTCCAGGATGGCCCGGTAGTATTTCTTCTGGATATTGGTCAGTTCCACCTCAATGATGGTCTCCTGCTTGGGTGCCAGATTCTTCTCCACATCATCCTTCAGACGTCGCAGCATCATGGGCTTCAGGATGGACTGCAGCTTCTTCACCTGCCAGAGCAAGCACAGAGATTCACTGACCTCCCTGCATGGTAAGCACACAGTGACAACAGTGGAGGGGCCTGCAACGCTAGAACCTCCCCAGGCTGGAAACCCACTACAAATGACCCTGAAGCAGCTGCTCTGCTGACAGCCAGGACAACTTCAGAGTCTGGCTTCCGTGGGGCAGGCATGTGAGTGACCAGCCCTGGGCCATGAACTCCACACACTTCTGCTGCTGGCAGCCTTGGGTGGATGGGTCTGCTGCAGGAGGAGAGCTGAGAGCTTTGATAGCAGCTGAGATGATGGTTGCTTCATGTGCCCATGCCTGCTCCCTTGAATGCCGATCTTTGTGCAACCTCCACTTAAGGCAGACATTCAAATGGCAGTGAGACAGCCCAGAGGACTGAGCTGCTTTCTGTGACCCGTGCTCAAGAGCAACTTTGGAGGATGGCTCCTCAGGGGAACTTGACAAGGGTGACTGACACATGGATTTACTGATCTCCTCACTCCCCCTGCACTCCTGTGGGTTGCAGGGACAGACCAGGTGGGAAAGCCAAGTGAGCTGCGCTGCCCAGGCATGCAAGGGGCAGTAGAAAGCTAGGAGGGGAGCAGACCACTGCCTTGACACAGGCTGGTCTCCTGTCTCCAAAGCAGGGCTGGGGGCTCTGTCACAACTTTGCTCCTCCCGGCATGAGGAGTCCTATTCACTTCCATGAAGCACATCTCTGAGTGCGTGCCTGGCTTGGTGACCATGTGTCTCAGTGGCCTGTGCTAACAGCCACCAGCATCACTCTTCTACGTACCTGCTCCTCTGTCTTCAGGTCTCCAAACTCGTCCAGGAAGGCTGTCTCTGAGGGGAACTGCTGTGGCTCCAGGAAATTCAGGAGGCTGAAGAGCTCCTCCACCGAGTTCTGTAGTGGTGTCCCTGTCAGCAGCACCTTGTGCTCCTGGGTATACACAGAAAACAGGTTGAGGGCTCAGACCCACTGGCTGGGTCCAAGGGGTCCCAAGAGCGCAATGCTCTTTGTCTTTCAGCCTCAGGAGCACCCTAGGCGGCCTGAGGGCACACACAGTCCCTGCAAGGCTCCCCCGACCATGGTGCCAGCCCTGACCCAGCCACTGCCATGCAACAGTCTTGTGGCTTGCAGGACGTTCCCCTGGATGTGTCCCAGTCCCGCTCTGTGCAGCAACAGTCAAACCCGAGAATCCCAGACTGCCCCTAGGCTTCAGCTCTGCCCTGGCACAAGACCCTCGGGCAGGGCTGTGCACAGGACGGGGACGGGGATGCTGACAGAGCCCAAGGCTCTGTGCACCTGGGGGCAGGATGACCCTCTTCAGGGCTCACGTAGAACAAGAGGGAACATGGCCCAGAGCCATGTGATACCAAGGGGCATCAGGGACCTGCTCCTAAGGCCAGCGTGAGCAGGGTGCTCCAAAATCAGCAGGGGCACGTATGACTGTGTCGTGTGCACTGGAAACAAGGAGGAGCTTTTATTAGAGGTTGACCATGTAGGTACATGTGCAATAAAAGGAGAGAGGGGTCCAGACAACCCCCGGAAGACCTGGAGCTGTGAGGAGCGGATGACCCCTCAAGGAGAACGCACTCCTTTCCATGCGCTGATGCCACGGGCTCTGGCTTCAGGCACTACTGGGTGCTGCCTCCCGGGATGCACCAGCCACTCTGTCCCAGCACTGCCAGAGACTTGGGTGCTCGCTCACTGCTCAGGCTAATCCTCCTGCCCAACCTACTGCAGGGAACGTCCCCAGGAGTCACCAGCTATGAAAGAAGGGCAATTGTAATGTGAGAGGCTTCCACAGGACTTGTACAAAGGAAGGTGACTGTTACGAAGAGGGGCCAGCAGCAATCCCGCTTTGCCCCCAGCTGCTCACAACCCAGCAGGGAACTGCACAAGACACAAGGTCACAAGGAAACAGCAAGGCCTTTGGGAACCGAAGACATAAGACCAATAATTTTCAGAGGCCTGGCCCAGCTACAGCTAAGTGTGATGGGAGATTCAATAGGCCTGACGGCCCTCAGTCCAGCAAAGAGTAGCACTGCCTTTCCCAGGGCTGGAAAGGAACCGGACATCCAAATTTTTTTCTCAGAGCAGCCCACTGATCCCTTTTTCACCATGCACGGTCCTGCTCTCCCATCCCTGGCACAGACAGGTCTCATGTTTGCAGAGCAGTAAGAAACCAGATTGAATCATAGAATCATAGTTGGAAGAGATCTCAAAGATCATCAAGTCCAACCATATACCTGATGCCACCATGCCCGCTAAACCATGTCTTGAAGCGCCACATCTAAATACTGCAGCCCTGCTCACCGCAGGGCCCAAGGCACACTATGGCCAGAGGATGCTGTGCACAGCAGGTCAGCAACTGCCTCCGTGTGCTGCAGTGGTCTAAGCTGCGCTGCAAGGCCAGGCAGTGCTCTGCCAGGGAGCGCAAACAGATGGGAAGGCATGGGGTGGGTTAGTATTCCACTTCAGCAAAAAGGAGTTTGTGATGGCTGCAGGGCACCAGTGCCCAATCCATCAAAGGGTCCCCTGTCACTGGCACTGCTTCAGCAGCCTGATGGGTCCTGGATGGTTCTCCCTCTGACAGGGAGCTCTCAGCCCTGGCACTGGGCCTGAGCAGCTGGCAGTGGCATCTGACTGCTAGGCATGGCCATCTGTGGCCCACCCTGCTCTCAGGTGAACCTGGGCAGGACATGCTCACCAGAGCCATGAGCTTCAGCCCCTCCAGGAGTTTGCAGTTCCTGTTCTTCAGGCGATGTGCCTCGTCAATGACCACGCAGCGCCACTGGATCTTTTTCAGCTCCGGGCAGTCGGCAAGGATCATCTCAAAGGTGGTGATAACCACCTGGAACTTGAAGATCCCAGGGAGAGGGTTACCCTAGGGAGACATAAACCATATGCAGCGCTTGACTCCTGCAGGACGGCAGGACACTGTCAGACATCCTGCCAACATAACAGTGTTGGCATTTGGCTCCTAGTTGGGATCTCCCCAGATTTATCTCTCTCAAGCAGCAGGCAGGTTCCTGCAAGCCTCCTTGCTGGCCACAGGCTGTGTCTCTCCAAATCAGACACTGCTTCAGGGCAGACAAACAGGCCTGGACAAGAACTGTGGCTGGGGCTCTGCTGCTTTTTCCCCTTTCTCCATGAGTTGGGCCTGTTCTTCACTCATACACGGTGCACATTGAGCCCATGCCAGCAAAGGGGTCTTAAAAGATCTCCTTTCCCTCTCCGTATGAACTACAAGCTCCACATGCAACTCAGCGCTTCCCAAGTAAACGAAGCCAGGGCCGGGGGACACGTCCTGGGAGTGCTGTGTGCATCAATCACCTGTGCATCCCTGTACACCATCTCATACTGCTGGATCATCTGCCGGCTAATCTGGCTGCCATGGTACACGATAGCATTCATCTCCGTCCAGGTGCGGAATTCCCTCTCCCAGTTGGTGATGGTGGAGAGAGGTGCGATGATGAGGAAGGGGCCATGGATGCCCATCAGGAATATTTCTGAGAGGAAGGTGATTGACTGGATTGTCTTCCCCAGCCCCATCTCGTCAGCCAGGATGCAGTTCTTCCTGCAGAGATGGACAGGGGCAGGTGAACATGGCTCTCGGGTAGGAACCACCCTGTCACCAAGTCCTTGAGGGGATGTCAAGCACATCACCTCCACCCACACCTCTCTGACCCTGCAGCGTGGAGGGTGGTAGGACATTGGTACAGTGGCCCAAACTGGTCTGGGTAACCCAGACCATCGAACTTCTTACAAGATGATGTTAACTGGAAGTTAGTGTGAAAGATGCTGTCCTTTGGGTGCAGACTAGCCAGTGAAAGATGCATCTGATGTCCTGCTGCAGCTGAGAACATGCATATTCCTGCAGTCCTGCCACAGGAATGGGCCACTGGTAGCCTGGCCAATGCTAAAACTCAGGGGTGTCTTGGACCCATAGCTAAGCCCTACTATCTCCAAGGCTCATCAGGATTTACCAGGGAGAAACATTCCTAAATATTTGGTTGCAAAGCTAAAGCAAACATAATTTTTCTGGCAGCTGCCTGCCAGCTCCAGCACTGGAAGGTCTCAGCAGCTGCTCTGTTAGGCCCCTCTTTGTCAGCTCTGCTCCCCCAGCTCTGCTGCTCCTGTGACTGCACACACTGGGGTTCCACTGCCAGCAGGACTCCTCACCTGTTATACCAGTTAAAGAGCAGCCAGTTCATGCCCTCCAGCTGATACTCCCGCAGCTGGTTGCTGTTCTTATATTCCCGGGACTTCTGCAGTTTCTGCCAGGACTCAGATGCTGGGCGCTCCTAGGAGAGAGCAGGAGCAAGGTCCATGGAGAGGAAGAGGCTAACGCTCAGCAAGGCCAGACCCTGCTTCTGGGGCTGCACATCAGGACACCACTTCAGAACAGTCATTAACAGCTGATTCACAGCAAAGTCTTGGCCTCCAGATCCCACCCTTGGATCCTGCTAACTAATCCATTTGGAGGGGAGGATATAGGGCTTGCACTGCAGCAGCAGGGACAAGAAGGTCAGCACTGCTGGACCTTGGCAAGACAGAGAAAGCCCCTGCCTGCCCAGGGCAGTGAGCTGCCAGCCGGGTACGTTACCTCTGGGTACGTTACCATATGCTTGATTTCTGGAGGGATTTGGAGGGCTTCAAATTCTTTAATTTTCCCTGGGTCAACATCCTCCTCCAGCTCCCAGGTGCTCTCCTCGTAGGGCAGCGAGCACCACTTCACCAGGTAGTGAGTCACCTCCTGCAGCGCAGAGAGACAGGCTCAGAGACAGCGCAGGGCTCATGGCCGCTCAGCCCCAGCGTGTGGGTGCAGACTGCGACTGAGAGCAAGTCACAGGGATGGCCAGCGGCCCTCCATTTACCCCTGTGCCAAGGGGTCCCCAAGGACAGTGCTCAGGCTGTGCAAGGCTGGGAAGGCCTCAGGGTGCTCAGAAATGACAGGTGATGCACGTCGTGGCGCTGGGCCTCCTGCCAAGCCTCCCTCCCTCTGTGGGGCAAGGAAGCGATGCAGCCACTCACCTCTCCGGTGTCAGGGTCCTTCGTGTGAGCTACCTCCAGAATTCGATCTACCTCCACATAGTCTGGGTTGAACAAATCCTCATCAGGCTGCGACAGCAAAGAGTAAAAAGAAAGGTAAGTTCAAGGTGATTCCAGGGTTAAACAGATGGTGGGCACGAGTAAACAGCTGCAGGACATCTGTCCCCAGGATGCTCCTAGCTGTGCACAGCACATCGAGTGCCCTGGACGCAGGTACGCGACATCTGTCTCTGGGCAGGGAGGACACAGGAGCCCTGCAGAAGGCAAAGCTCTTGCTTTAGAGCAGCTGCAGGCTCCATGCTGCCCTTGCTGGGAGGCAGGAATGTCTTCTCCAGCCCATCTGGCCCCAAGGTACAAAGTCCTGAGCCGTACACTCCAGCTTATGTGCAGTATCCAGAGCTGTGAGTGCCACAGCACAGAGCCACACATAGCACCCGATGAACTCCACACCTCCGCAAGGGATGACACCTTGTTCTCTGTCTCTGCCTCTCTCTCCCCCACCTTCAGCTCAGCAGTCAGCAGCAGCAACCGCTCATGAGGCAGGGGCTCGTCCTCCTGCCAGGAACACCTGGGGAGGAGTGGGTTTTCAACTAGCAGTGGTCCTCAGAGCAGGAGGGCCACAAGGGAAGGAGGAAAAAAAAGGCTTCTACGTTTCACAGCTCCCCAAGCCCCAGTTAGTTACAGGAAAGAGCATTTGCTCCTTGCTAAACTGTTAGTGGTACAGTGTGTTCCAACACATGCTTTTTCTTTGCATCCTGGGAAAGACCCCAAACAGACTCAGGAGTGAGAAATTTGACACACACCCCCAGCTTTCCAACTACATTGATGGAGAAATTTTCATATCCTACTGGCCTGATTTACACTTGTAAGGGGCAGTTTGAGGAGATCCAACAACTATCTCGGGAGCAGCAAGTAAATTATAGAACACCTTTCATATTAGACAAGATTAATCTGCTTACAGAGCACAGCAGGCAGGAGCTGCCCTAAGCCCAAGTATTTATAGCTCCCTCTCTCCCACAGCATCTCTGCTCCGCCATGAAAGCACCTCCAGCACTGCATGCTGCCCTCCCTCCCATTGAGCAATGCTTCCAGGGTTGGCAGTGCCTGGCAAGTGACATTTGTCACCCGGCCCATACCTCTGCCAGTGACACCATGGGTGTTCAGGGCACTGTCACAGCCCCTTGGCTCCAGGATCCCCACCCGCTCACCCTCTTGTGCTGTGCCCCGGTTCAAACCAGCCTGGAAGCTTGAGGTGCCATGCTGCAGCCTGGGCATTGCCATGGAGTCACCAAGGGGGCACAGGCAGGACTCTGGGCAGCATCCCAGGATCACTGAGCTACGGCAGAGCTTAGGCAGGGCAGGCACAGCTGCACAGGGAGCTCTGCCTGCCCATTCCCACCCCTGAATTTTGGCCCTGGAGCTGGTCTTGCCTGGGCAGGGAGGTGCCAGAGGCAGCACTCGGCTCTGGGCCTGCTCAGCCACCGCACTAGGCCCAGGTGTGCTGAAGTCAGGCACAGCTGCTTGCCATGCTCAGCTCTCACCTCTGTAAAAATATGCTTCATCTGAGCCTGCTTGTTCCGGAAGCGCTTTATCTTCTGGGAGATCCTGGGGTCCTTCTCCAGCTCCTCCAGAGTTGCCCACTTACAGTGGAGGTAGGAGCTGCAGAGGAAAAAAAAATCAACAAAACATGACCAAAGAGGCCTTTGGGCCCAATCCCATCCGCCACGCAGACCAGCAGGGATCTCCCAGCGACCCAGTATATGCCTCGCCATGTGAAATCCCAAACTGGAGGAAGCCGTGGCCCAGGTCCAGGCCAAGACTGAAGAGCTGCTTTCCTGCTTCCCGCCATCCGGGCCAGCTCTGGAGGACAGGGGGCAGTGAGACAGGGATGCTGGGGCTGCATCTGCAGATGGGACGGAGCTGGGAGCACACAGCCCTCGCTCCTGCATGCACAGGACCCACTGCCATGGCACACAGCACCAGAACGCGGCACATACAAGTTCCTGTACTTGACGTAGAACTCCTCCATCTCAAACGCCAGGCCTCCGGGATGAGTCTGAAACCAAGGGAAGGAGAGTTAGTGACAGCCAGAGCTTGTGCAGAAACTGGGGGGGGGGGATCCTCTGTGGCCTGGGTATAGACAGGTGTCCCCTGCCCAGACACAGGCTCCAGGCCGGCTGAACCCCACAGATGGTGAGGATGGCCAGGCACTTGGCACGCTGCCTGCCCCAGAGGCTCAGTGGCCCTGAGAAATGTGGTGTGAGACCACCCTTGAGCACAGGAGACTCAAACATCTCCTGGGCAACATCCCAGGTCTGACTCCTCTCCAGAGGCTTTCTGGTGTCCAGGGCAGGAGAGGCACCACAGTGATCCCCAACCAGGAAAGGTGCCAGTCTGGGCATACCCCAGCAGCACCCTGCAAAGAGCGAGTGCAAGGAACGGCACGGCAGCACCGACTGCTGCTACGTCTCATGTCCCTGCTGCACAAAGCAGCCAGGTCTTGTCTCTCCTCTGCCCAGGGACCTCCAGCCCCACTGACATCTTTGCCACTCACCTCCTTCTGCACCATCCTGGAGGCAAGGATCTTCTCAATGATATTGGCATCATCCTCAGGAGGCTCCTGGGGACAGGAGAGCAGAGCGCTGTTTTCCCAGCTCATTACATGGCTTGGCCTCTGGCATCCTCCCGGCACGGAACGGCTGCTTGCTCCTCTCCCAGCCCACCAGCCGGGCAGGCAGAGCCGGCACAGTGGGAGGTGGGAGACCTGCACTTGGGGAACCTTGCTGGGTGCAAGGGTGCAGGTGCTGCCAGCCCAGCTACACTCACCCTCTGCCTGCGCTCCCTGGGCCAGCATGGCCTATCTGGAGCTAGATCAGGGCAGCCAGAGAGCGTAGCAAGTCTCCCAGAAAAAAGGAGGGAGCTTGGGCACTTCTGACCCGAAACTCAAGGAAGGAAATACGCCAAAACATGCACATCTCCTATTCCCAGCCACTCTCTATGCAAGATCTCTGACTTGCCTCAGCATTTATACACCCCTGTAATGTTGGATGGCTCCAAGGGCCCCAGCAGAGCAGGGAGCAACGGCTGTCAGGCC